CAGTGGTGGACCAGCTTTAAACTTGCAAATACGAGCCTCCGTGTCTTGTAATAAAATTACATGATTTTGCTATTGCATGACGAAAAGTCATGATTTTAATAAAGACACGGAGGCGAGTATTATCCCACCCAATTTGCTCTGGTATGTCATGTTTATTACTCTGCAAATTTTTTCCCACCTAGATCATCGGCACGAGCCCGGATACGATGAGGTGGTAAGTGGGGCAATTTTAATTTGGGTATGTTGTGCTTTACTACGGAGATAAGGACATTAGACTAACATTCGGACGAGATAATTGTATTTGGCTTTGTCCGGCCTTGATGACGGTACATAGATCAGATTTAACCCATGGGTTCCTGTTGTTTATGTTTTCACAGCCTGAACCGGATCCGTACGATTCGACTAACTGGAGACATGCGACCACGTCTGATGGAACAGTCTTCTCCAGTGGGAATAGCTCAAAGCCTCGTTATCAACCAACTTCCATGGGACTCACAGTTGATGCGTGTTACTGAAAGTTATATGTCGTGTTGAAAGTTTCTTAAATTTTATGTTCTCTCTGTCTGTTAATTCCGTGTAGCACCTTCAGAAAGAGGGAATTTGGAGGGCGGACCAGGCTATTATACTGGACACTTTGCTGCTGTTGTGGACAGTAAAGAAAGGGATATGCAAATACTCGCCTCCGTGTCTTTATTAAAATCATGACTTTTCGTCATGCAATAGCAAAATCATGTAATTAAACAGAACTTGCAATAAAGAAAGCCTAAATAGGGTAAGAAGCAGGGAGGGGGGACTAAAACCAAAAAACATTAAAATATATATTTTTAAATAATTCAAATATAAAAATGCCCCCCACCATTTTACACATCACTACACACACGGCACACGGCATCCACCACACACGCACACGGCACACGGCATCCACCACACACGCACACGGCATCCACCACACCCGCACACGGCACACGGCATCCACCACACACGCACACGGCACACGGCATCCACCACACACGCACACGGCACACGGCATCCACCACACAAGCACACACACGGCATCCACCACACAAGCACACACACGGCATCCACCACACAAGCACACACACGGCATCCACCACACAAGCACACACACGGCATCCACTACACAAGCACACACTGCATCCACTACACACACAGCTCCCCTGTCTAAACACATTTCATCCACTACATGTGGCATGTATATTTTGTGCATTTACCTTTAGAATAAGTTTAATTTTTTCAAGATGGTAAATGTACAGAATATCGGCCTGAAAGTTTAAAGATTATCGGTATCAGCTCTTAAAAAAAAATTAAAAAAAAAAAAAAAAAATTTAAAAAATCAATATCGGTCGATCCCTAGATTCTATAGGCACCAAAACAACTTTAGCTTAATGAAGCAGGTTAAGGGTTAGCCAGTGGAGCTTATTACAAGGCTCTAAAAACTGAATTTTCTCCAAAAAAAAGAAATAAATAAAAAAAAAAAAAAAGCTGAAGGGTATACAATAAGCTGTAGTTGTTCTGGTGACTATAGTGTCCCTTTAAATAAATCAGGCTGTTCAGTGTTTTTTGCACCCAACCCGTCATTTTTGAACGCAGGGCACTTTCCTATTTATACAACTGATTAATCCATCACTTCTTCCCTCAGAAATGTGTTCTATTTTACTTCTTTTAATCGAGGTCTAAATTTGAGGTCTCTTCTGAAATGGACAGATAATTGCAGGAATTAGATAGAGAAATAAAGTTGATGTTTTGTTTGTCTAATACTATTTTTAGAATAACAATAAATATGAACATATAAGAAACCAAAAAAATAATGGACCCCATTTAAGACTGTTTAAACAAGCATTATAGTGTCAGGAAAATAAACATATTCCTGACACGATAGTTGTAAAAACACATTTTAGGTCTCCAAGCTCCCAGATCTCCCATTAAAAAGTTACCTTTATTCCAGAGCTCCGTCAGTCTTTCTGTGGCTGGCTCCACCCCACCCCGTGGCTATTATCAAATTTGACTATCTCAGCCAATCCAAGGCTTTCCAATAGAAAAAACATTGGGAGGCTATTGCACATGAGTGACAAAACTCCATGCTGCGCCAATCAGTATGTCCTTACAGAGTTGCATTGACTCAAGGCATCTCTATGGGGAGCATTCAGTGTCTTCATGCAGACAGTGGAGACGCTGAACGTAGGTACTGCACACTGTGCAGCACTGACCCAGGAGGCACCTATAGAGGCTCTCTGAATGTTGCCACTAGGTGTTCCTAGGCAGTAATGTAAACACTGCCTTTTCTGTAGAGGCTATTCCATGTCTCCTCCACTTTGAGTAGTAGTGACTACAATCAAAGAAAGCTGGATTCCGGATGTATTCCAAAATAGACTTATTTTTTTTATAAAATAAAATGTACATACAAAAAATAAAAATACATAAATAAAAAGTGAGCGGCCCTATATCCCCAAAATGGGTTTTCTTCAGGGGGCTAAAAAAGTGAATAAAACCTAAAACTAAATAAAATAAATAGTACAATTTCCCCAGCAGGAAAAGGGCTTTTCCTTTACTATTTATTTTATTAAGGTTCATGCTTTATTCACTTTGAGTTCCTTAAAATATTCATCCCAGGATGAAATACGTAGGACCACCCACTTTATATTATTTATATATTTCTCTCGTTTGTATGTAATATTTTTCTATTTTGGAATACCTTCGGAGTCCAGCTATATTTGACTGTGGTGACTACTACACGAAGTGGAGGAGACATGGAATAGCCCTCCAGAAACCTAAAGGTAGGCACCCTAGGGTGACAAATTCATCTTCTATCCAGAAAATTTGCTTTTAATTTAGGAGCCAGCTAAAAAAGTTAGAAGCCAGTTTTTTTTTCAACAATAAAAATATAATTCTTCAAGGGACACTGTAGTCACCAGAACCACTGTAGCTTAAATTAGTTGCTCTGGTGTCTATAGCCTATTCCTTTAAGAATTGTATTTGTGCTATTGAAAAACACTGCCTCCTAACCAAAGTTTCTCTTATCTAGACACTAAATGTCTCCTTTCTTCATTTTGCATCTCCACGCTCTGCATGGAGGCGCTGAATGTTCCCCATAGAGAAGCACTGATTTAATGCCTCTCGATAAGGAGAGGCTTATTGGTGCAGCATTGGATTGGCCAAGATTATCAAGATTGATAATCTCAGTTATGGAGGCGTGCCAGCTGGTGACCTAAATATACACATTAACTGACAGACACATTCTTGCACAAAGTATTTTATTATTTGATACATTCAAATAGATACACAGATTCATAGCTACACAGACAAATACACATACAGAGACACAGAAAAAAAAACCAAAACAATTTGTTTTCCCACCCTCCTGTTACCTACCTTGTGGACACAGGAGGGTGGCTTATGTGGGGCTGGATGTGGCTGATGGGAATGGGCTACCGCTGGTCCAGACTCCCCCCTCCTGTCTCTGTATCCCCGTGCGCTGGGAGGAAGTGAACCATCTGAACTACTTCCTCCTGGCGTTGAACCAGTGCAGGGGAATGGGGGAGGGTGCATGCGGGCAGGCGGCTGGCTTTGCCTATTAGGGCGGGCGGTGAGCAGAGACATCTTAACCTCCCCAGCCCATTAGGCATAGTTTTCCCCATCGAGGGGAAGTAGTTACAGTTCCCTTCACTTCCTCCCAGCGCGCCAAAAATGAGAGGATGAGGAGGAGGAAATGGGCTGACAAATTCCAGTCGCCAGGGTGATCTGGCACCTGGGATTTGACGCGCCCTGCATTAAGTGGTTGTTCTGGTGACAATTGTGTCCCTTTTATAAAGTTCCCTGATTATATTTACATTGCCTCACTATAGTCACTCAAACCACTTCAGCTCAATGAAGTGGTCTGGGTACCAGGTCCCCCAGGTTTTAACCATGCAGCTGTAAACATTGCAGTTTTAGAGAAACTGCTGTTTACATTGCAGGGTTAATCCAGCCTCTAGTGGCTATCTTACTGACAGCCGCTAGAGGTGCTTCTGCGACGATGAATGCAAAAATCGCATTGAGCAAGCAGAACGTCCATAGGAAAGCATTGAGTAATGCGGTTTGAATGCACGCGCGGCTCTGGCCGCGCATGTGCTTTCAGCTCCACTCGGGAGCTGATGTCTGAGGGGGAGGAGAGGTCATCAGCGCAGAGGGAGCCCGGCGCTGGATTAAGTTAAGTGGCTGAAGGGGTTTTAACTCCATCAGCCCAGCTCTAGGGGGGACCTAAGGACTATATAGTGCCAGGAAACCAAGTGTATTTCTGGTACTATAGTGGTCCTTTAATTAGCTTACAGCACGGGTAACATCATACAATACTGTATGTATATTGCAAAATGGCCTTTACATCGTTCAATCTCAATAAAAAGTACCTATCCATCTCGAAAAACCATTTAGCCATAACCTGCATTAAGCAAGTCTGTCTTCTTCACCATACGATTACAAACTTCTAGGAGACAGACATCCTTTTGGTAGCCCAATATCAAAATTCTAAATAAGGAGTTTATGAAGTGGAGATTACATAGTCTATTTAAAGTACTGAATGCCCAGGGGATTTCAGGTTCAACTTTTTCCATCCTAAAACAAAATTTGTTTACCATCGAGGTATTTTTATTATTTTATGATTCAAACAAGCATAGATGATGTGTGCAAGTTAAGGGCATGGAAAATTAAATTCATTTTTTAGCTAAAATATGCATATATGAGGCTACAAGCTGGCTGTTCTACTTTCAGCATTAAATGTAGAGTTGACCAGAAAATATATTTCTAATAATTACTCAAAGAATAAAAGAGAAGTGGCAAAACTTTAATTGGAATAAATTGTTCATAAGTACCATCACCAGTTATGAAAGAAACCCAAACCCAAAGAATTATGTCTGCAATCACACAAGACTAACAGAGAATGTTACTGACAATGAGAACAAATATTTATAATTTATAAAAGAGAATGTAAGTTGAAAATATAAAGGCCTCAAAGGGTTGTTTTCCCCATTTACTTGGACACCTAGGAAACACATCACCACTGAACATATTAGAGACATGTTCTCACAAAAAATATTGTTAACATCTTACAGTTGCCAGTGCTATAGGTAGCACAGAACACATGGACAACGGGAAAGAAAATATGGAATCTGGACAACATTTAACTACTGTGATGAATGTAATGTTCTAAAATTGTATTAAAATTGTATCAACAACCCGCCTCTCAGAACAGTGCCTAGTCTAATCAATCTAGACTTCCAATGCAAACTGCATACATGTATGGATATATTCTGCTTACGGTCGACCATGTTAATTGATGATTTTGTTTTGTTGGCACAAAAAGTCCCTTAATACCAATGGAGTATTACTTAATGTTCACGGTGTCTACCCATTTTTAAAGTGGATAGCTGCACCATCTCAAGCCAATTCAACCAACATGACAGTAGCATTCATTACCATGGATAGCAAAGTATTTTGATTTTAAAATATGAACAAGGTTGATCTAGTTGATTTTCACAAGGGTAGTTGAATACAACTTCAGGTACCATGCAAATGCAGACACACAAAACTATAGCCTGCCCAGCCCAGAGGGCACAGTTCTTCCTGTACAATTTATGCATAGTCCACATGTAAATATAGTTTAAAGCAGAATCATTTCCCTTTAAGCTATTCGTATGCAGCACAACAGTAACTATAGCCATATTAAGCTCACACTCAGAAACTATAATTTAAGTAACAGATGTAAATGTTTAAATCTGTATTCAGCAGAGTCAGGTCCATAAATATTGGGACATCGACACAATTCTTATCGTTTCTCTCTATACACCAACACAATGGGTTTGAAATTAAACAAACAAGATGTGCTTTAACTGCAGACTTTCAGCTTTAATTTGAGGGTATTTATATCCAGATCAGGTGAACGGTGTAGGAATTACAACAGTTTGTATATGTGCCTCCCACTTTTTAAGGGACCAAAAGTAATGGGACAGATTAACAGTCATAAATCAAACTTTCACTTTTTAATACATGGTTGCAAATCCTTTGCAGTCAATTACAGCCTGACGTCTGGAACGCAGACACATAACCAGACGCTGGGTTTCATCCCTGGTGATGCTCTGCCAGGCCTCTCCTGCAACGGTCTTCAGTTCCTGCTTGTTCTTGGGGCATTTTCCCTTCAGTTTTGTCTTCATCAAGTGAAATCCATGCTCAAAAATCGGATTCAGGTCAGGTGATTGACTTGGCCATTGCATAACATTCCACTTCTTTCCCTTTTAAAAAAAAAAACTCTTTGGTTGCTTTTGCAGTATGCTTCGGGTCATTGTCCATCTGCACTGTGAAGCGCCGTCCAATGAGTTCTGAAGCATTTGGCTGAATATGAGCAGATAATATTGCCCGAAAACACTTCAGAATTCATCCTGCTGCTTTTGTCAGCAGTCACATCAATAAATACAAGAGAACCAGTTCCATTGGCAGCCATACATGCCCACGCCATGACACTACCACCACCATGCTTCACTGATGAGGTGGTATGCTTTGGATCATGAGCAGTTCCTTTCCTTCTCCATACTCTTATCTTTCCATCACTCTGGTACAAGTTGATCTTGGTCTCATCTGTCCATAGGATGTTGTTCCAGAACTGTGAAGGCTTTTTTAGATGTTTGGCAAACTCTAATCAGGCCTTACTCTGTATTCACTCTGGTGAAGTCTTCTCTTGATTGTTGACTTTGACACACATACACCTACCTCCTGGAGAGGGTTCTTGATCTGGCCAACTGTTGTGAAGGGTGTTTTCTTCACCAGGGAAAGAATTCTTCGGTCATCCACAGTTGTTTTCCGTGGTCTTCCGGTGTTGCTGAGCTCACCGGTGCGTTCTTTCTTTTTAAGGATGTTCCAAACAGTTGATTTGGCCACACCTAATGTTTTTGCTATCTCTCTGATGGGAGGCACGAACTCTTGTAATTCCTACACCGTTCACCTGATTTGGATGTAAATACCCTCAAATTAAAGCTGAAAGTCTGCAGTTAAAGCACATCTTGTTCATTTCAAATCCATTGTGTTGGTATATAGAACCAAAAAGATTAGAATTGTGTCAATTTCCCAATATTTATGGACCTAAGGCAATTAACATATACTCAAAACAAGAAGGAAGGGAGACAGGAGAAGGGACAGGATAAATTCTAGAGTGTCCTGCAGAGTGGTAGTTGCCTAGTTATAGAGGCGTGACCTTAGGATAGGTTGGGCTCAGGGAGATCACAAAAGAGGAAAGATAATTACACTGCATTCAAATGACTTGTAAGAAATCCTCAAGTGATGCAGTTACACTGCCTGTTAACAGAGTGAAATGCCAATGTGGGAACAACAGCTACAAATTAGTAGTGTCAATAATGTATCGATATACCAGTATCCAGGCTCAAGAAAAAATAGCCAAGTCCCAGTGAGCTGCACTGAAGCTGTTAAAGCTGATAACAATATTTAACGAAACTGCAGTGTCTGGACTCCAAAACAAGCTTGAGAGTGCCAGTATACTGCAGAAAAGAGCATCTCAGAAATGATGACAGGGTCCTGTGTTAAACACCGTGAGAAATAGCATCTAGAGGTACGTGCTGGCGGGAGTATCTGCAGTTTGGCAACTTGGAGGTACAAACTGCAAAATGTTGCCTGGTAGATTCTGCAGGAACTGGCTTAATGACCACAAGGCTATGGAAAGAGAGGGGTTAACTATAAAAACTGGAAATCCTAGTGTTATGGTATGTGCTGGCAGGAGTATCTGCTAAAGAGCTAAAAAGGCATTCAGACAAAAAAAAAAAAAAAACTTATACAGAAACCCCCCCCATATATGGAATTGGAATAATACAATATTATGAAGACCAATTAATATGCTGCTACACACTTAAATGTTGTGATTCCAGGCACAAACAGGTAAAAAGAAGCATACCAAAAAAAAAGGATAACCGCGCTCCACTTATCTCTGATTTTTTATATGTATATTTTGTGCATTTACCTTTAGAAATTTTTTTTTACAAATGGTGAATGTACAGAATATTGGCAAGTTATCGGCTATCGGCCTGAAAGTTGACAGATTATTGGTATCAGCTCTAAAAAAAATAAAATAAAAAAAAAAGTCAATATCAGTCGATCCCTACCAAGGGTCATGTGATTGCTCTGAAAGAACGATCACATGGCCGCAATAGGCGTCCATAGTGTTGCCTGCAGGGAGAATGCCTGAACTGACAGGCAGTCCACCTGCTGGTGAAAAAAAAAAAAGTTTAAAAATAAATTATATTTATATATATATATATATATATATATATATATATATATATATATATATATATATATATATATATATATATATATATATATATATATACACACACACACACACACATATATACACATATATATACACACATACATATATACACATATATACACACATACACACAGTATACATATCTATTGAGTTAGATCTGTTCAACTTCCTAAAGAAAAGCAATCCTAGAACACCTATTTCATATACGTTGCCAAAAATCCAGAAGAACCTACAGGTATCACTTGGACGCCCGATCGTCTCTGCAATAGATGGGGTATTAGAACCTATAGCGAAGTACCTTGATTTCTTATTCAAAGAACCGGTTGAGAAATTGCCCACTTGCATTAGGGATACACAGGAGTTAATTAACATCTTGGAGAAGATTGATCATATACCTGAAAATCTCATCCTAATAACTTTAGATGTACAAAGCCTCTATATGGCAATTCCCCACAAAGAAGGAATCGAAGCGATGAGAGAAACGTTGTCTGAATCACCCCATTATAATGGTCCCTCTATTGAATTTGTTATGGAACTGCTTAGTCTAACTCTGCAACTTAAAGGATCACTATAGTGTCAGTAAAGCAAACTAGTTTTCCTGACACTATACAACCCTTAGGTCCTCCCCACCCTCAGGGCGCTAAAGGGGTTAAAATCCCTTTAGTTACTTTAATCCAGCGCCGGGCTCCCTCGGCGCTGGTGACCTCTCCCCCCACTCTGACGTCGGCTCCCGAGTGGAGCAGAATGTGCATGCGCGGCAAGAGACGTGCGCGCATTCAAACAGTCCATAGGAAAGCATTTCTCAATGCTTTGCTATGGACTTTCTGCGGAAGCGCCTCAAGCAGCTGTCAGGAAGACAGCCAATAGAGGCAGGATTAACCCTGCAACGTAAACATAGCAGTTTCTCTGAAAATGCATATATGCATGTGTTCAAAGAAAAACATTTTACAACCATACTCAGAGCGGATCAAATAAGTACGTTTCATTGATGATGTCTTGATACTATGGAAGGGCGCTATGGCAGATGCCAGTAAATTTGTACAAGATATTAATAGTTTACCTAGTCCAACCAACATCACGGCTAACGTTGACGAAAAAAATCATGCAATATTTGGATCTTGAAATATTCATTCTAAACAACAAACTAGAATACCAACTCTACTTGAAACCCACCGATAGGAACACCATTCTCTACTTTGCCAGTGCACATCCAGAGCATATCTAAAAATCTCTACTGTAAACTCAATTCTTAAGAGTATTTCGGAATAATTCCCTAAACGAACACATTGAAATTCAAGTTGAAACAATGTATAACAAGTTTTTAACCAGGGGTTACAACCGTTTTATACTCGATGCAGTTTTGAAGAAAGCACAACAAGCCATGCAAGAGGGATCCGGAATACATAAATCAAACAAAGACACAGATTAACTTTCCCCACGAAGTTTAATTCAGCAATCACTGAATTGTCGAAAGTTGTAAAGAAAAATTGGAATATCTTAACTGGAGATCCAACTTTACCAGCAATCTTTCTCCAAAAACCAATGATGTGCTATAAAAGGGAAAGAAATTTGCGAGACCTGTTGGTCCGCACTGATCCTGAACAAAGTTATTTGCAAGATCAAAGAAAATTTCTTAATCCAGGATGTGTTAGATGTCTTGGGTGTGTCATGTGTGGACATCTTATCCCTACAAAGTCATTTGATCATCCTCATACACAAAAGAAATATTCCATTAAACACCAGATTTCCTCCAAAACTGATCATGTTATCTACAAGCTATCATGTCCGTGTGGATTGAATTATATCGGGAAGACAGAAACAACGATGCGAAAGAATTGGAGGGCACAGATCCAGCATCAGAAGAGCGATCAGAGATGGCAGCACGGATAAACCTGTGGCACGACACTTTCTG